AGATATATTTTTTAGGAAAGAAGTTGATCCACAATTGTTAGGGTTAAGAGCTATCGAGTGTAAAGTGCAAGGTCTTCACATGAATTAGGCTTAGCACTTTGAACTGAAAGAGTTTGTGATTTTTTATATTATTTTGCATTTAAATTTGTAGTTTTAAGTTCAATAATTTAGTGTAATTTTATAATTAATTCATAATAATACTATGATTCAGTATTTAAAATGATAAACTTGTGTGATTTATGCATAATACTACTAGTACCAGTACTACATAAGAATTTTATATTTTTCCTTCTTACAATCTTTACTTTGTAGTAAGACCCACACTTCTGTCGTTATTGCTTTAGAATTAAAACAGTCTAACTGATATATATAAAGTCTATTCTGATATTTTGCAAATGGTTTAAAACTCAGTGTACAAGTGACAACAATAAAACCCACATGTTGGTTGTGAAACAGACTAAATACATTTGTCTCAATAAATACAGGGAAGTTATGACATTCTCACAGTTGGGGTTTCAATACACTGAAGATCTTAAGTTTCAAATTCCAACATAAATCTTGCCTGTAATGAGAGGAATGTGACCAGGACTAATCTTTTAAGTGCTGTAAAGTAATTTTCTTTGTAATTCATGGTGTCTGTATTGTTTGGTAATCTCTTCTAACAGGATGTATCAAGTAACTGGGGTGAGGTGGTGTTATTGAAACCATCTGTACTGTAAACTGTTACATACATTTGCTAGTAGTGGCAATAAACAAAAGTATGGCCACAATGAAACATAAACATAAATTTGAATAAAAATACATTTATGAAACAAAATTAAAATGTTTTTATGTACATATATAAACATGAAATCCTATCCTAATTAAAAATAAAACTCCTCATTTATTGTTTAGGTTTATTTACAAATATTATTTTCGGGTCTTATATATTACTTGATACCGTAAGGAGATTATTAAAAAAATTAAAAATAGATAAAATTTGCATTTATGGACGATACAAATTTTTTGGGATTTCAAAATAATGTACTAAAACATAAAAAGTAATAAGTTCAAATCTGGAACAAATATAAATATTGTAATCATTTATTATAAATACCATTTCCTAATATAATTTTCCCAGATATTAAAGGTCATAATGCAAAAAAACTAAATTTATCAAAAGCAACAGGCTTTATGTTTCTTAAAGTATGTGCATTTATGAAAGTTCTTATGAAGTTTCAAACAATTTCATCCACTAGTTTTATTGTTGGAATGAGATATAGCAAGAATTGCATTAGCTACTAAAAAAGTTAGTAGCCGGTGGTCATAGGGTTAACATACATACAATATTACATGTTCCAGGCCACGTGTAGTTCTACAAAAATTTATCCAACTCTGATGACATGGTATAAAATTATATAAGCTCAAAGGTTTACACTTCTTTCATAAAGTCTTAAATAGTTTTAAGCTTTCTCCATTTAGTGGCATGTTAGCATTTTTGCTACATGATGATATATCAAATATCCTCCTAACTACATAATCCTTTTATAGTTCTTTCATATTCATCAGTAAAATATACATAAAGTTATCAAAGCTCACTCTTTATCAAGAAAAATCCTCCACAAAAAACAGCTACTGATACTGGTGCTAAAACAAAACCAGCTCTTGAAGGATGAAGGTAACCAACAAAACAAATACCCATTAGTGAATCTCCATCAACCTGTGGAAAGAAATATATTTTTAAATATTAGAAACATATATATAAATATACATGATTTTTGGAAAAGGTACTTTTTAAAGAAAAGAATGAAGACTAAAGTGAAAAAAATTCATTGAATAATAACTAGTATTTTTCAGATTTTTCTTTGGAGGTGTCATACCTGACCAAGTGCCATGATTGCTATAGTAAGCACAAGTGGTACACTCCAGGCAACAATATGGAAATAGGCAGCTCGACTTTCAATCACTTCTCTCGGGATACCTACAGCTTGGAAAGAGACATGCCAAGCATATGTTAGAAAAACAAACCATATAATGCCAGCCATCAGGAAGTAGTAGATGAGAATGAAGATGATGATACAAGAAAGGTTTTCTCCTGATCTAAAAAGGAAGAAAAAGCTTCATATTAAAAATAAAAACAAAAATTATAAAAAGTTAATATTTCTTAATATCAGTTTTGTTAATATCCGAAAACTAATACACTAAGAAAAATATAATTGATTTCCATGTTCAATGGACACTCATCATAAATGCTTTCACATTTTTTACTTCAAACTAAGAAATGCTGTTAACATGCTATTGCCAACATTGTCTGTAAGATATGATCTAGTTGGAAAATCATGTTTAAGTTTTGTGACAGTGGGAATCACACACAAATTAAATCCGTTCTCTAAATTTATTTTTCTTTTATATTAATTTAGGGTACACTGCAGATTTTATTTTCATTACAAAGCAGATAAACCATCTCAAAATTAAATGATATAACACTGAAAATCCTTACCCTATTTCTACTGTGTTGTGACATGAATAAAAATTGATGAAAAATTACACTTCATTAACTTAATCTAGTTTACATTATAACAGTTATTGTCAAGAATGTTCCTAATATATGTAGCATCTCAACCACTACTGTGTCTATCATATCCAAGCTGGCCTGAAGAGCCCTGGTATTGAACAAAAGGCCTTGTCACATTGGATATGGCAGATAGTGTGTGGTTGACATATTATTAAACACTTTTCCTTACTTTCACTCTGAAGTTCTTATTAATAATTCACTGTGAATTCTCAGTTCATATAATTATGTGAAAATTACGTTACAAGAATAAAACTTCACTGTGAGGAAACAACGAGATTTCATATAATTAACAACAGTGTGATACAATTATTAGACCAACAATAAGTTGTCATTGGCAATAACACTTTCCCATAAGAAAATGCTCATGAGGTATTGTTGAAAAAAATACATTATTTGAATTGTATAAGAAACTGAATCTCTAATCCAATAAAACAAATCAATAAATTTTAAGTATAAGTTTATTTCTGAATAATTATTCTGTATGTGTGTCACATTTTATAGAACATGTCTATCACTAAGCACTTATTGATTCAATGTTACTTCTCAGATATTAAGCAATAAAACAAGGATGTCATTAAAACCCTTGGTCATGGTTTCCTCCAGTTATTTTCACCTTTTCACCCATCTCTTTCTACATGTAGTGTTCCTTTTTTTTCTCTCTTTTAATTGGCCAAAATTGAGCCTAAGTTTCATCTTTTACAGTTCTTAAGAAATTACACTTTTTAACAAATCGATAATTTTCCATGCATAAAATTTTATTCTGTATTCTTTGACTATGAATAAGTGCAGCGTTGTTTTTAATGTCATAAATGAAAGTAGCATAAAGTAATCTTTGTAATTCCGATGGTTTAATATTAATGGACACATAATACCTCAGTAGACCTCAGAAGTAATGAATAATCAATAAATAATGCCCAGGAATTTAGAGCTGTATGATTAGTAGTATTTGCCAATTGATTAATTGACGAGCCCATTAATCAATTACATTTTACTAATTAATTAGTATATGCTCTTTACAACCCATCCCTTACAAGCATAAAAATAAATAAATGAAAATAAAGTATGAGTTGCCTTCCTAATTTTTTCAACCACTGCATTATTCAACACTGTATTAATCTTCCTATTTTCATTCACATTTTGTTTTTAAATAGTTTTTGAATCACCCTTTGTCTTCTAAGATACATCTTGTCTGAAAGCTGCCATTTGTGCAATTTGTGAAAAACAAATTTATTTTTCTTAAAAAGAACTTTGCCAAAATTAAAAAAAATAACCTGGACATTTCCTACTTAGTGAATGAATCTTTAGTTGACTAAATACCATTATGCAGTCACCATTATGTTTATTTATAAAATACACAGTAATCCCACATTGATCTTCTTTAAATCAAATAAACTGATAATTAAATAATGAAATCATGTTACACTATCACTAGTTAAACAATTTTTTTATGTTGTTTGAATAGGATAAACATAAAAATAATATTTAATACAGATCTTAGTTATCAGAATATTTTGTAGTCACCTACCATACTCACTAAACAGTAAACTTATCTGAATTAATAATTATATTTGATGAACATATTAAAACAAATCTCATGTTTACAAACACTGCAATTTTAAACAAAGAATTAAACATCAACACGATACCTTTATTAAGCCTTAAGCAATCTCCATTCATGTGAATTTTGTTTCCTACTGAACTTTGTATACAACTTCCTGTGTCTAAGTAAACTACATGCACCCGATGATGACAAAATCATTTCCAAACATCGTGCATTTGTTAATGTGTTAAACTAGTAATAAAATTTTTGTTGTTACCTATTCAACCCATCTCTAAACTGTATAAGCTCACATTCAAATTATCTGATGCCTTCTCATGGAAGAAAAGTTTTGTAGCCTTCAAACAGATATAATTTAACACACAACTACTTTCACAACTCACAAACAGATGGAACTCAGAGAAACATTACAGAAACTCTAAAAAAAACAATTCTCAAATCTATACATTTATTCTACTATTACATGACAGTCTAATTCTAAAACAATTAACAAGTGTTTTGCTTACAAGCAAAACTCTTTGCAACTAGGCTGAAATAAAAATATTAATTGTTTACTTCATATTACACTAAATCAATTTTTCATTATTCAAGCATTCAACTGATCAAAATTATGATTAAACAGACTAATTTCATGACAACAATTACCTATTCAAAAGTAATGTTTCTAATTATTTCCTAAATCTGGTTATTGAAATATTGCTATTATGATTTTTCATTGTTCTTTTTGATTAATTCAGGTTGTTCATCTTATTCAATTAGTGTTTTGCCTCACAAAAATGATAAAATAATCAAAATTAAGGATACTGATTATTACTATTTTTGGATTATTTCAACTATCCAAGTAATTGAAAATTGACAATATGTTTGTTGTTAAGTGTAAAGCTCCATAATGGACTGTCAGTGCTTTTCTCAGAATAGGTATCGAAACACAATTCTTAGTTGATTTTTTTTATTTCAACAATGATCACCTCATATCCCTTTTTTGTGCTTCAACAACATATTAATCAATTAATTGAATGTAACTGACTGATAAGGCTGTTCATTAATTGATTAGCAAATTCAACTAATTTCTCAGCTTTAGTAGCATATGGCAAAGAGAACATCTTTATCAGACTACATTCTAGTTAGTCAGTTCAAATTCACACAAGACATGCTAATGCTTCCTACTTCATTACCGCAAACAAGGTCAAAACTTAACCCACAAAAAATCAGTAAGACTGTGAAAACACTGTAGAAACTTGATAAAATGTCTGAAGAAGAAAAGTCTTACTACCAGACACAACTTTACGCTTGGTAGACTAATTGTAAAATACTAGTAGTAAATATATGACATGGTAGAACAACGCTATTGACAATGCCAAGGGTTTCTACTGTTATTAATTCAAACTGCCACAAAATGCCTGTCAATGGAAATCTACTCACCGAGGTTCTCCTTGTCTCAGTGTACCATCTTGTCTGCACACTATGTCATCCCTTGCTCCAGGTGTGAACTGTGCCATCCATCCAATGGTGACAATGAAGAAACAAGCATTGATATAGAAGATGATAAGAGCTGGATATTTGCTGGCACTTTTCCAATCCACAATAAAAGTTATCTAGCAACACAGTCATTTTCCAATTACATACACAAACTTTAATAATGCTTTAACAGCCAAACAAAACTATAATTATAACAGTCACAAATAAAACCTAAAATGTGCACTGAATTGTGATGAGACACAATTAACAAAATACTTTTAATCAATATGTTGTATCCATTAAATAATTTTGCATGCAACTAGTCTCCAAGGCATAAGCTGTATTTATTTGAATATAACATTAAAAGACCTCAAACTTGCATAATATGAAAAGTAGCTTGAAATTTATTTCCCAATTTTCAAATGTTTATTTCTATTCTAAATTTTTTATGAAAACATTTCATTTAAATATCTTATGTTTCATGTGATAAGATAAATTACAATAATGTATCGTTGTAGCTTCCATGTCAAATTTTGTATAAGAGTAAACTTTTCAAATAAATGCAATAAAAGAGCATATGAGTATTATTAATGGCATAGAATCAACAATTCTTGCACTTTGTGAAGACACTTCCTTACAAATTGTTTTAACTGCTTTAGTTGCTCATATTCAGATAACAAATTTCTGTTACTACCCAAACTAAAAGCTTTTTTTTTGTATTCACCAAAGTCCACACTAAAATATTTCACAAGAGTACAGAGATCGAGCATATTAAAATGATTCTGAAGCCTCACCGTGTTGTAACAGTCTTTACAACTATGTCTTGGTACAAACTATTTTAAGACCATACATGTTGAAAGTAGCCTTGCAGTGTAGTTTCCATTGTGAAAGACTCTGTCATTAGGTTTTCCATAAGTTATCTAGAAACATGACAACTTCCCATCACCTGTTTCAACAGTTCTTTCATAAAGAATTCCATATGTGCTATGTCCAATGACTTGACCAGCATGTCTTCACACAGAACAACATGAATACCTATTTCTTTCTCCAGCTGTTTGAGGTGTATGAGGGTTGAATGGATATGTTATGGAAGCAGCATGTGTACATGATTGATGTTGCTTTTCTGGATAGAGATTCTTCTTAATTATGTTTTTCACTATTGCCTAGGGCACTTGGATGGCCTTTGCCACTGACCTTTGTTTTCATGGATTCTCACCTATTACAAGATGTACCTTGCGTATCATGGATATGATAGAAATTATTGCATGTCTCTTTCTGGATGGTCCTGGTTTCCATGAGTCAATCCACACTCCTTTGTTTCCCAATGGCATTAAGTACATGAGATAAGGGATCTTGGAAATTCTAAATACTCAATTTCATGATCTGAGAGAGGAATATTTTGTGTTGGAAGAGGCTGTTAAAACATTTCTCAAAAGCAATAAAATTTTCTGTAGCATCATATTACCTATGGAAAGTCAAACAGTGTCAAAATGTAGTTCTGATCCATGCTGTTTCACCACAATTTAAAATTGGCTGTGATTATTATGACTTGTTGATCTGCATATTCATTTTTGTATCAATATAATACATTAAACCCTCTGTACCAATGGATGTACCCTTTTTTTGAAAATTATAATGTTAATCTGAAGAGGAATATTTAAAACATGAAATTTCATGAATGCCACAAAGGTAAAGAAAAAAACCACTACTACCCTCCACAAAACTAACATTATCTAAAAGATTATCCTGGAGGACCTTCACCAAGTTCAACATGGTGAACTTATGCACCAACACTTGAGAAAGCAAGTCTCTATAATGAAATGTAGAGTTACTAAGAAAAGTTCCAGTAGTTTGATAATGCAACTCGAGACTCCAAGGACTCAGGGACTGTATCAAATATGTAACGCTGAAAAAAATGAGCCCATATATAAATTCTGAAGATAAGATGCTAGTAAACAGATGCGAGTTAAGGTCACAGCACAACCCAGAAGGTCCCAACAACAGAGAACCACATATGCAAAGCCAGAGCCGAAGATGACAAACGAATCAACATGACGGAAAGAAGGGAGAGAATGTCACCAGAAAACCCCTCAAGATTTCAAAGGAGAGCCTCAGAGAGGAGATGGATGGTAAAAAAACTTCTTAGAAAGAGTTGTGAGGGTAAGACGAAGGCAGGAAAATTGGGCATGGGTCAAACTTACAGGAGATTCAAGGACCGACCCCCAAACAGGTAAAATATAATCTAACAATTGTTGGTCTAGAAAAGGGCAGTCTAAACAATGATATGCAAGAGCAAACTGATTCAAAGTCCATGGAGAGCAAGGCATGCTATTCCTGTATCTTAATTGTGAGGCAAATTGGTCAGCATATACCCAAATATCTGGGGAGAGAGAGAAAAACCAAATAGGAATAAAACATCACATACCTGAGAAACGAAACCCAAAAAGACTATAGGAGGACTATTGAGAGGAAGTGGGACAAGGTCCGGAAATAGAGGTCGACTTGCGATTAAACGCTGATAAATCTCCCACCGGGTCGCCCGCAACAGAGTCCTGTGACTCTGTGCTAGTCTCAGGTGTGAACCCCGACATGGTAATATAAACTTCAAAATCCATAATCAAGAAGAGTCAATCAAAATCGAAATTATTAATAATAATGCAACTGTAATAAACTGGGATTAAATCAAAGTGAAGAAACAGTTTTAATAAATTTGGATGTAATTTAAATGAAAACCCATTTGCAAGTATACTAAAGTTGAACGTGAAACTTGAAGTGATAGGTTGGTAGAGGCATATAGAGGGAGTCACATGCATTACGCTCTTATTGGTAGAGAAGGGACACACGATGATTTGCACGAGAGACATGTTGGAATCATTTGATTCAAATATGAGGGAGCAGAAGGCTCGTGGCATGCATAAAGAAAAAAGTCTGCATATAGAGGGTAGCAATGAACAAGAATAGTTAATCTTGTAAGAAGAGGGAAGTCCAATATCGCAAAGTGGGTATTATTATTATTATTATATTAGATTTATATGAAAAGCATGCAATAATCCATTATAGTACTCTCAATAGTTTATCCATGATTATTCATCATTCAATATCCAATACAAATTCTGTCTTTAACTTCTTTTTATTCCATGCCAATATGCTTTGTAATGCTTCTGTATAAGTAACTTCAGTCAGTAAATCCTAAAACAGTGTCATATCTTGCAGTATATATTAATCCCAGTTTAAAAGATTACACATTCTAACTTGAAAATGTAAATACTTAAAGCTATAAAAATATTTTATAAAAAATGTAACACCTGCCACATGAGCCAGCCCAGCATCTTTTAGTAATGAGCCTAGAATGGTCAATATGGGGGTCATTCCAAAAATGGATGATTTAGGGTTATTTCAAAAGATCTGGATGAATGAAACTCAGCAAAAAAAAAGTAAATATTAATAAAAATATGATATTACATATACTATGGTGGTACCATACTGGGCTTTATACTATCCTTCTCATATTTACTCTTCGTTGCAAAAATGGCATAATTACTTTGAGAATCACTAGGTATATCATTTTGTAATGCATCATGCATCTGCTTCAACTTCAACACTGCATTTTCAGGTTTACGTGCCATTAGTTTCACAAAATATAGAAACTAATGATTTCTTATATATGATTCCAATCCCCTCATTTGAAGATAATGATACTATTGTGCCCATTTTTCTCTGTCAATGCAGTAATCAATTGACAAATTTCTGATTCAGATGGTATGTAAAACTGATAAAAATATCTTTGAATAAGTTCTTTCCTCATCTGATCTGGACCCACAGTTTAACTTAATTGCTACACTTCAACCATCACATTCGCAAACACATCTAGAACATTTCAAGCACATTTCATTCCTACATCATTTTACTTTAGATTTACTGGTTAACTTCTCTATGTTGACTCTCATGGTCTTGGGTCAAGTCATAGATCTGGTCCAACAACCTAGACCTCCAAAATAGTGCCAAACATTTGATTTTTGTCTAATCAAAATAACCCAAACCTTTCCAGAATGATCTTTTTTTTTATCCACATCAAGATGTCAGGCTAGTTCGTGTGGCAGATGTTAATAATTCATTTCTAGCTTTAATAACAGCCACAGCTTTGAATACATGAAATCTTCACTCAGAAATAACAAAATTAATGTGCTTTATATTACATAAAAAATAGTGCTAAAGTTATCTCATGAATGAAATTTGTCTTTCTGTTGTTAAGCATAAAGTTAAATACACAATGAGTTACCTGTGCTATGTCCACTACAGGTACTGAAAAATGATTTTTAGTGTGACAAACCCTCAAACTTACTACTGAACCATGGGGGTCTCATGCTCACTTTTGTTCATGAAATGGCTTTGTTTTTGTTATTGATTCAGCTATAGTTTACTTTTTTGTTATTTTTAATAACCAGTTTAAGGCAACTTTTTACATGTTTTGACCAACTTTTGAAAACTGATTGATTTATTGTGCTATATATTTCATTTGTATTTATGACATTTATCTTTACAGTAGATTAGTATAATATATAAAGAATGCTTTAAGAGAATATTTGATGCACCTTTCACTCATGGAGATATTTGCCTTCCAAACATAGGACTGCTGAAGTGGTCATAAATTTTTCAGAACAATATCCAGGATGAAAATGCACTATATAGACAAGTAACTGTATACTGGAATATATCTGAATGTAGCAAAGCATTACACGTCATTGTAAGCAAAAAAGTAAAAATTATATGTTTAGTATGAAAACATATGTGGGGTCTGATAATAGAAAAACTGTACTGATAAAATAAACAAAACATGCTTTGGAACTCCACAGTGGAAACTTTACAAAGTCATCTTCTGTACACTACGAAGCAATACGACATTTAATCAAATACACTGGGAATTGTTCATCAAAGTCAGGTGTATTTCCTTTCAATAAAATGACAGCTCTCTGAAACTGTCAAATAGAGCATTGTTGTATACATGGGCCACACCTTAATGTCTGTTAATGTTGATGAATTGGTTATTACTAGAATTTTTTTAGTGCAAACTTCATTTACAAGTATGGCATTATCAGTGCAAATGTACAAAATTATTCCATTACTTATACCAGTTTCATTATGTGCTTTATCACTGGCAACAGCTTCACTATCACAATTTCCATTGTTTGTAACATTTTTGCCTTGCAATACATTACTATCCTAACAACAGGCTGAAGATTATTGCCACTGCTTTTTCTGCTTAGCAAAGAATTGGGTCACGCAGATGGAAATTTGTACTCATGTGGGTGATCTACCTCTAATTACATATGCATCTGCTTAGCTGAAAATTTGTGAAACTTATCAGCCATACCATGTTCAAAAAAATGCATTGATTTCCTCTTTACAAGGACCAATATTTTTTGCACCATACTGACAACACATTATGAACACCTAAGCCCATCCAAGCACAAACTCACCTATATATTAAAAATTTAAAATGTCAGTTATGCTTGCCAAATCAATTCACCTAATTGTTGTGTCACCTAGTGTAACATGCACTTGCATATTAATGACCCTGGGAATTTCTATACTTTTCATATTTCTTCACATATGCATTGTATCCATTCCTTGAGCCCATAATGCACTTTTGACCAAAACATTTATTTATGTAAATTAAGTCATGTTTTTGAATATTATTCATATTATGATATTTGAAGCATGCAACCATTAACAAAATACACAAGTTCTTAACACATTTAATCAGAACCTCGGTCATTTTTTTAACAAGCATGAAAAACACTGTGTTCTCCATATCTCCTTTTGTTAACAGTACTTACAATTGTAAACAGGGTACACAACAAACAGACAGTCCCTACAACAGCAATGAAAGAATGGACTTGATTATGTTCTTCAGAACTAAAGAGAGGATTCTGGCACTGAATTCCACACCCATGAACATCTTTATGCCAGATATCTGAATCAACAGTGTCCACCAATGGTCTCTGACAGTGGGAGGTGACACTAAACTTCAGCTCTCTGACTTCGTTCTAGGAAAATAAGAAAAAATTAAGTCACTACCATACCAAAAATGGCTAACAACATGGTTCTCTTAAAAATTAAATCAAAAAATTTTTCACAACCATCATTGATTTCGCTTTCTTTTGTCAATTTTGTTTACGAAATAGAAGTTACTGATAAAGTAATTTTTTCACTGAAAACTTTTCAAAGCAACAAAAACCCCATAATATCTGACCAAACATTAATTAACAATGAATGAATCCAATAAACATCACATAAAAGCAATCAAAACATAAATAATATAAACTTATGTGAACTCCTAAAATGTGATTATTATATTTCATTAAAGAAATACCTGATAAAAACCTCAACTTTTAAATGCCCGGGTGCATTGATTTGAAACTTCAGAACTATTTAGAGATTTTGTAGCTTCTGCAAATAAAATGCTTTATTTCTGTATGTGATATCTGTATGAATTTCCATCTTTTGAAAATCATTTTCAGAAACAAGTAAAAATACCATCTTTTGTCATCCCACATTGTTATAAACTTTGCATTAATGTTTTTTCTTTTACGTAAAACTAAATTTTATCTCTGTTTAATTTTAAAAACACTGCACGCAGTTTCACCTTTTACAATCACTGACATGCATTAAAAATACGTTTTTACCATATCAAGATTATAAACAAACAAACTTTTTAAAATTATTAATCAAAAGATTTCATTTCATATATTTAGTAAGTTTTAAACTGGTGTTATACTTATATTTTTCATGTATCTCTTCATTGACTTTCTTTGTCCATTCATGTTGTTACTCAGGCTGATAAGTCCTAACTAAGCCTATCTGATATTGTTCTTTGGAAAACACTTATTTTTCCATTATACTGTAAGATGATAATTTACATGGAGAACAAAATGATAAAGCAAGCTTTTTGTAAGTTAAAAAAAAAGGTGATCATAATTGTGGCAGAAGTCAAACATTTTGTTCTAACAATATATGATCAATTTGAGCTTTTATCATTTTGTTCTGATCTCTATTTGAATTTCCTATGAAATGGAATCCTTATTGGCTTATACAGCTGAAAACAACAGAAAATGAGCTTTCATTTCATATTTATAAAGCTTTTGTATTTCACTATCTAAGGGTGGTAACATTTGTGAAATGTGTATTTGAAAGCCAGAAAGAGTTAACACAATTCTTGACCAGGTGATCATAATTGGGGCAAAAGCTGTCATAAACATTTTGTTCTAACAACATATGATGAGCAATTTGAGCTTTTATAATTTTGTTCAAATCTCCGAGTTTCCTCTGAACTGGAATCCTTACTGGCTTATACAGCTGAAAGCAACAGAAAATGAGCTTTCATTTCATATTTAGAAAACTTGTTTATTTCATTGTTTAAGGGTGGTAACATTTGTGAAATGTATATTTGAAAGCCAGAAAGGATTAACGCAATTCTTGACGAGCACAAGTGTAAAAGTTAACATTGTTCTTACACTGAAAATGTATTTCCAATAGGTACTTCTCTCATCTCACACAAAGCTATCTTGATCCTTTTCAGCCCTATAAGCATTGCTAAAAAAATGTTTGCAACCAGCACATCAGTCTTTATACCCCATCAATTTCGCACCATTTCTGAACATATACATATTACGTGACTACTCTCCAATAGTTTTGCAACACATATATTTGCACAGCCTGCTCCCTCTGCTATTCCCACTCAATCATCTCTTTCTCATTATCATGTCCACGCGGTAACAATAAGAAGCAAATATAAAAATAAATAACATACTGTAATGAACAATTTCCAGAAAAACAAGCAATTAATGAACAACTAATCAAACCTACATGAACCTTAATACTACCACATGCTATTGGCCTTAGCCTTATCACACTAAACTGATTCACACATTTCTTGAAGATGAAATTTACTGGAGAAAGCAAGTTTCTTAATAAAAATAACTCTGTGTGTCTACACAGTATCCGGTGATTGAAGTAATACTTACACGTACATTTTGAAGTACTCAAGTCCATCAATGATCAATAAAACTTGTTCATTTTTATAAGGCACATCCTTAAATTCAAACTTTGTATAACTCAATGGGCATCATTTATTAAATGTCTTAAATATCTTCAAATCTGCAAGAAGCATATTTAATTAGCTTTTGTGGAAGTGATTACTGATTCTGCTTTAAGGAGATTCATACCAAAATCCTTGAAAAAGATGTGTTTTGTATGTAACACTAAGAATTCATCCAGTTCCGCCAGATTGTGACCTGATCATGAAAGAAGATACAACTACAGTAAGAAATGAAAGCAGAAATTAGCTACTAACATTTCTGAAGTGGAAAAAATGAAGGAAAACTTTCAAGAATGATATGAGCAAGTTATTGCCTTAGCCCACAATGCAACATATAAAACCAATCCAAATTACCACGGGAATACCCTGAGTGCTAAGGAATCTGGTTTAGCATGTGAAATCATTATGGTTATGGCCAATTTTTACATGTCATAATGAGCAACACTGTGTTCTTACACAGATCACTTATTTTTAAGAAATAGCCCATTTGGTTCCAAAACCATATGGGATGCTAACCCTACTGTGAACATAGTGAAAGTCATGTGCCCCCATTTTTTGTATTTTAGGCATTGTGGCAAAAATTCTACTGTCATTGTGCACATAATTCTTATAACTGTTTAATCTAATTATTTTAAAATATACCATTTTATAGATATATATATATATATATATATATATATATAGTAGGTTAATCACTCATCACGACCCACAGTTAAAAATAGACAATCTATAAGAAACCATGACCTAATATACATCTGATAATGGTAGTGTTCCCAAAAATGATGAAGAGGACAGATAGAAAGGTGAACCAAATTACAATGGAAGAATATATGTATGTATTAGTTAAGGCAAAGCCTTAAGGATATCATCTGACTAACATAAAATGTTAGTTAGCAAGACATTAATATTTGCAGATAACTTATAAGTTACAGCTTTATCAAATACTGAAGTTATAATGAATTTGAAATTTTAGTATCAGTAAAAAAAGTAGACAATTAGAGCATCTAGAGATAAGATTAGGCAAAGATTTAAACTAAATTATGACAGAAGAAGAAATTATGTTCAATTTCTGAACCCTAAATTTATATTTGAGAATTGTCTAGCAAGAAGACAAATAACTGCAGAAAACTTAAACCCAACTGCATTTCACAATTTCTTGCATACACTGAAAATAACAGTATGCAAACATTAGAAAAATCTTGAACCACACAGATGATTACCCTGCAAAAAAACTTGGTGTCATCATACTGTTAAATTGAACTATAATAATAATAAGTAATACAGAAATTAGCAATAACTCATTTTCTAATTTCACAAATTTTGTGATGAATTATGATGCTGATCACACTCTAAAAGATCTACATTCCAAGCCATATGCTGCTCTTGGAACTATCTCTTCCATCATCACTTGTGTTCAGACTGATGGTCAAATTACTCACTATTAACAGACTCCACAATTTCCATTGTAACAAGATTCTACAAAGAATAATGACAACTTCATGAAACATATTTTGAGAAACTTTCCACAGACCATCCACTGTATGTGAATATCAGCATCTAAAATTTGTTTAAAAAAAAACAAAGGCACAACAGTCCGTTAAAGCTGGACTGAGAAACAGGGAGTTGTGTAGTCGAATGGCACTGCTGTGATTCCATTTTCTTCAGCCACTGTCACATGAAAAGAGCTGTTGACTTTAGTGTGGATGAAAGTTTGCAAAGTTTTGGCTTATGAGCCTCCACGAATTTCATACTGATTTTCATTATCACGTAACCTAAAGGTCTGCTCAGCTCCAAGGTATTTTTTTGAATCAGAGCATGTTCTTTCATAACTATAGCCTTCACTTTGCAAATGAGCAGTTTGATCCAGAATAGCTTGGGATTTGGTTTCAGAGCCTGTTGCTGTTCTAAATGCTCTTCTGTGCATGTTATTTTTTACTGAAGACTTTTCTTCAAAACATTTTCTTTGGCCCTACTTCATTTAACAATCTTTTCCTGTGAACATTTCCCTTCAGAAGAGTAGTAATTTCCATACAGCAATACATTTACCAGTGGCAGCACTGCACTGACAAATAGTTGTGAATTCAACATGAACCAAACATACAAGTATTAGATATGTTGCCCCACAGTCCATACATGGTGGTACACAACTGTATTTCCACATGCATATTATTCTTATAACTGTTTAACCCTTTCGAGATGGGTCACAGGTAAAAGGCCATGTCATCTCCTTTGTTGACTCGCATTC